TTTATAGAAAAATCCTAATACTGAACATGAGTCATGTTTTTCCCTTACAAAAATTAATCATGCTCTTATTATAGTAAATGTACAGTAATCATGTTTTTTTTTTTTGGGCAAATGGATTACCATTTGTATTTATTTTTACTACAAATTCCTACAAAGTGTAGCAAAAACCATGGTTAATTTGTGGTTACCATGGTTTAACAATAGTAACCATTGTCTTTGGATTTATAGTAATATCGAACCAGTCTGTGTTTTCCGCATCGCAGAAATTATAGGGCCGTATGTCAGAGTAATCAGTGCAATTTGGGAAAGAAATCAGTTAAATCTGTATGTGGATGTGTGCACATATTCAAATGTAATCCCCGTTGTAATCGTTAACATTTTCATAAGTAACTGTAATTTAATTACACATTTTTTCTTAGTAACTGTAACTGATTACAGTTACATTTATTTTGTAATTAAATTACGTAACGCCGTTACATGTAACTAGTTACTCCCCAACACTGGTAATTAATAACTATAAATACAAATTCAGTAGTATTAAAAATACTTTATCGCATGACACTCATATCTAGTACTTGCCTAAAAAGGCAGGTTTATGATACACTAACATTAGGCTTCATTAGGATTTAAAGGTACAATATGTAAGTTCAACGCTAGAGGGCGCGCATTCAAAACAAACAAAGGTGTAGTTTGATGACGCCGTGACTGAGTGTGGAATCATGGGAGTTGTCGTCTTCATCCCCACACAGCTGACGCAATCCGACGGGGCTTGGGCAGAAATCATGTTCATGGACAAGCTAATGTATTAAAGATTTACTAACATTGTAGTATGAAGCAGAGTGAGGCAGAAAGCCGTCGAAGCGAAACGAGGCAGCTGAAGCAATTGCTAATGAGGTCAAGGTTTCCAATTTACAATTACCATATTTTGTAATTAGGCCTATATAAAATATTTTATATTCCTAATTTTAGTGTAAACTCAGTCAAGGGAGAGATAAATACGTTTGAACGTTGCAAGTAATTATTTCTACAATATTACATGAATCACAAGAATGAGTAACTGTTTCTTTAATAAACACGTCTTCTTATTGGAAACTGTGTTTGCAGCCGGAGCTCAAGCGGGTGCTGGAACAGAGGAGACTGGAGCAGCACAGAGAGAGAGAACAAGCCTCACAGTCGCCGTCTAACCTGGAGCAAGAGCTGCACAAGAGACGTCAGAAACTCCTGGCGGTACGTGCTTACGGGTGCGCATGACCGGTGTTGTGCCCAATTTTAACCCCCTGCCAAATTATGCAGTCGTTACCTGATTGCCCAATCCTAACCCCTCCCCAACACCTACTCCTAAGCCTACTAATACTAGGGGGGGTAATAATCTGGGGGGGGGGGGGCCGGAATTGGAACACTGGGACGGCGGGACGCTCCAGTCGTAAATGTAGGACAGCCTCAGTTTGACTTCCTCTTTGCACAGACGCCCATCTCGCTGTAGCGTCTGATGCTTCTCCAACATGTCCTCTAAACTCTGCTTGTGAGTGACCAGGTACTTATTGCTGCAGCCGCGCGACTTGTACTCCGTGTCGAAGCGCGGATCGTGAATCCGCTTCACATCCACAGGGGCCAACCAGGCACCCAAGGACACGTCCTCACTCTGCCAGGTCTTTAGAAACCCCACGTTGAGACGTACGTAGTGCACGAGGTCGGCGGACAGCACGTAGCCTCCACCCAGAGCATAAGGTAAGTAGTAGTCGCACAGTTCCCAGGCACTTTCTTTCCATTTCCCGCCCGTTTTCACTCTCCCGCGGCCGGAGAAGAAGCCCCAGTAGAGTCGGCTGGGCTCCTTGGTCTTCAGCTCCTCTTTGAGGACTTCCAAGCGGGTGAAGGTGTCGTCGTCGGCCTTCAGAACGAATTTAAAGTCCACGTTTTGGTCCAACCAGGAGTACATGTGAAGCAGTTTCTGCGTGAGGTTCTCGTACGAATCCCGGAGGTCAGGGAGCAGGAGGAGGTCATGGTGACGGATCTGCTCGGTTCCGAGGTTCTGGAGGTCTTCGGCGGGTAAACCCTCTGTGCCGACGACAAACCAGTAGAGCACTTCGGGATCCTGCTTGGTCAGCCAGGTGCTCCGGATGATACTGCGACGCTCCGTGTACTTCGGCCCCGTGGTGATGAGAACGACCAGGAATGTAGAGAGCTCGTTGGCGTGAGGAGGCCCTACCGGCTGCTTCTGTCGTGACTCAGCCCGCGGCGCCGCCCCTGGGGACTCAGCCGGCTTCAGTGTCTCAGACGTACATTTGGCGAGGAACAAAAGGACGATGGCGAATAGGAAGAAGACACCGAGTGCCAGGGCTGTCTTGTGACGACACACAAGACGGACCAAATTCATGATGTCACTGAAGGACAGAAGGAAATCACACAAGCCTTAACTAAATGTGTGCAACCTTACAGCCTGTTCACACCAAAACGAGCATCTGGTGCAATAAACACACTTGCATGCAACAGATTTTTTTACAGAGAGGTGCACTGATCTCTTTTCCATCATACTGAAAAGAAAACAGTTCAACCATACGATTCACGCTTTTTGTCGTGTGCTGTTTGATTTACCTACTTCTCCGCGACATGGGTCACGTTAGCGAAATCTTGAGGGCAAAAAGGGACATGGTCCATTCTCAATAGTGTAGCAATGTATGAAGCACAACTCTTCAAGTCACTTTCAACTCAAGCAGCTCTCTGTTGGTCAGCGCAGCAAATTTGCACGACTAATTTGAAGAGGAGCGAAATCTGCGCGGGGAACTTTTTCGCCCTCATGCATTAAGGGCCGGTCACACTACACTTTCCGTTCCACTGACTTCCATTCATACAGATACGAATGCAGGAAACAGGAAACACAAGCGCTTGCGTAATTCGCTGCATTTCAAAGTTCAAGTTCGGTGAACTCTGCCGTGGCCTCTTGAATTAAAAGAAAGCATACTTTAAAATCATACTTTTAAAAGCATACTTTTTTTACATTTTGGATGTATTATATGTAAAACTAAATGTAAAAAAATCTCTGACCTGTGCTTTACTTCCGACTGCATGACTGGATTTGGCCCAAGAAATTTCGCTATTAATTGAGACCTCACATTAATTAATAGACACAGAAGTTGAGCAGCATTGCTTTGTGTAACTGGTGTCAACCCTGTTAACGCTGTACTTATGCTTTTCTATAAGCGCCACCTACTGTTCACATAATGAATCTGCACTTTCATTCAGCCTGTCTGCCGTTTTTTCCCCCTTTGGACTGAACAAACAAATCATATGCGAAAATCAGACCGAATTTTCATGTTGTTGTGAACAGGCCTTTAGGGTAGATGACACAGAACAGGGGTGCGTTTCCCAAAAGCAACTATGGTTGCAAGTTTTCAATGGAACTTACCAGCATAGTTAGCTAATGATGCTTTTGGGAAACGCACCCCTGATCAATAAACATCACAATCTTAGGTTATTTTTATATATATTTTTTTTATACATTTATGCTTTAATTCACTAGTTGTTTTTAAATGCCTTTTTTTTTTTAAATAACTAGTGATTTTTAAATGTAGTCACGGTACAATATTTTCTAATAAGGCAATAAAAACTGCATGGATAATAGTTATAAAATAATTCAGTTGTTTTACACCATTTTAGACAAAGTATAGCATGTCAACTACATAGACAATAATAATATAAAGAAACCAGTAAATAATACAATTGTATTATTTTGTGGAACCAGCTTAGAAAACCACATTGAGACCACCGTGCACACAGAGACCACTAAAGATTCATCACGCAGCGTGCACATTAACTTACCAGCTAGATTCCCTGCAAAGCGATCATTTACTGCGCTTCTGGCTCATCATGTGCATCTTTATTATTAGAGGCTGCTTTGTTTTGCAGTAGCAGCTGATGTGCTGGAGGTGAACCACAACTCTCCGTCTTCTGCCTCTCCAGACAAAACGTATAATATTTACACACAGCAGACGCACACGCCTCCCGCGACGACTGAAAACGTCAGACTAAAACATAAAGCATTTTGAACGCGTCATTTATTTATTTTTTCCAGCTCAAATGCACGCACACAGCCCGCACTTCCCGTTCACAACCACAGACTGAAGTCGCGCTGCTCTGACAGCTTCATCTGCGACCTGCGCCACCTGCCGGACTGGATGATTACATGCTCATCATTTCAGATAGTTGCCACTATGCAGGGACGCATTTTCCGCTGCTTAACTTCCATAGTACGATGTAAACCGTAGTAATATTGTCGTATATCTCTGTCGTTTGAACCGCATTTGTTAAATCATATAGGACTGTTGTTAACAACGTCGTGTGGTGGAGAAGTAATAACTTCTGATAGCTGATTCAAGATTGCAATTAAGTCAGATTAATCTAGTTTACTTACACAAAACACCAGAAAGCCTTTATATTTCTCTCTCTCTCTCTCTCTTTAAAGGGGTCATATGATGCTGCTAAAAAGTGATGTCATTGCGCAATGACGTCATTACGTAATCACGACGCAAAATTGTCACTACATCAAATCTCAGCAAAAAAATATTTTATGTATATTTTTGATTTGTTTGTAAAATAATATAAATGCATAATATAATGTTAAAATATAAGTATTTTTATATACAACATTTAATTATTGAACACTTACACATTTTTGAACGATTACAAGTTGTTGTTTTTTTATTAGCTAGTAAACTAGTCAAACTACACATTCTGTACAATTATAGTTTTAAGCAGTTTATTAGTATTTTGTCACTACATCAAATCTCAGCAAAAAAATATTTTTTTATGTATATTTTTGATTTGTTTGTAAAATAATATAAATGTATAATATGTTAAAATATAAGTATTTTTATATACAACATTTAATTATTGAACACTTACACATTTTTGAACGATTACAAGTTGTTGTTTTTTTATTAGCTAGTAAACTAGTCAAACTACACATTCTGAACAATTATAGTTTTAAGCAGTTTATTAGTATTCAGTATGCTACACTCTAAGAAAAAAATTCACAGGTTTTTACCTACATTTTTAATTATGCATTGTATTTTGTGTTTTCGGGTTACAGGGTTACAATGGATAA